CTTTGATTCAATAATTTCGTGTCGAATTGGCTTTGGATGAGAAGTATAAAGTAACTCTATTGGAATATTACTCAAATTATCATGTTTACTGTTTATGACATTAGTCTGTGTTGTATTTTTTGTATTCACAGGTTGCATTGATGCGAGTTTAGTAGTAAAATTTCGAGATAGTGCAATGCGTCGACTTAAAATTGTCGATGCGCGAATAGTTGAACATGATGGTGGCTGGATTGAACATTTACTTCATGAGGCTGAAAATGAACGGCAAGCAATTCATTAAATTTGGCGTCTATCCACTTTATCTATTCTATTCTAAGATAGTTTTTATTTTTTTGCTAATTAGTATGCATTTAATGACATGGATGCGTATTTCGCAGCCAAAAGTATGGGAACGTGCATTGATAACTCTTGTTCAAGGTGTTTTCTATAATGCTTTTTTTGCTTTATATCTCTTTAGTCCAAAAACTGCCCATCGAGTAGTTGGATATCTTGAGGAAGAAGCGGTTGTCAGTTACACTTCATTTCTGAATGGTATTTTATAACATTTTAAACATATTTAATATCAATATATTTTGGTAATAATGCTTATTAAATTATATTTTAGAAATTGATAATGGTAACATTGAAAATCTTAAACCAGTTCCAGATATTGCTATTGATTATTGGCATTTAGATCCTGAAAATGCCACATTACGTGATGTAGTACTTGCAGTTCGCGCTGATGAGGCTGCACATCGTGACACAAATCATCATTTAGCCGATCGCGTTATTTTAGGAAGGGAGGATTTACGTGAAGATATTAAGAAAATATTTGATGACAGTGAGGAGAGTGGTAGAGCACGTAGAATGGCTGGGGTTAATCAAAATGCTCAAGATAAATGGAAACGCTAGATAATAATAAATAAACAAACAACCCTTTTATTATATATAGTATTTAGTTAAATCGTGGATAAAAGTAAACGAATGAATAAACAAGAGCTTTCATTATCCAAGGTTTATTGGTTCGTGATTAACGCGTATATATTTATGTGGTGCGTGTAAATATACATCTTTAATTTCTTATTTTATACCTTACTTATTCTATTTCTCATTCCAATTTACAACTCTATGAATGTATTTCTTTTTAAAGAACCAATCTGTAGGCAGTCTTAATAATTTCACAATCCCAAAAGCAATTTTATCCGAAATAGTAGCAGGTTCACGATGGAGAGTAAGCTTAATATCTAAGTTTTCAAGATCTTTGGTTTTCAATGG